TAACAGACCCGATAGTCGTTAACTGAGCAGGGGACCTAAGGTCCTATTGAGCGTACGTTTTATCCTTTTGCTTTCTGTTACGCAGAAGGAGAAAAACGTGAGTTCAAATAGGACCTGAGGTCCCCTGCTCAGTTCACGACTATCGGGCCTGTTTACTCCGCTACAAAATGTATTTTGTTGCATACGTAAAGTTAAAAAAGAATAAATCGTACTATTGTGAAGCATTTACAGTGTTTAAAAAACTCCAAATTCCAATAACATACATTTATAGAATTCGGAGAAATTGTACACTTTTTCCTCTGTCAAAAAATTAGGAAAGCAACATTGGTTTTTTTTTTTGGAGTGGATTAGAAAAAAAATTCTACACATACCACAACTTTGAATTATTGCCTACTTAAAACTTTCAGTGACATCTTAATCATGTACAACATGAGATTACCTTTCCCTCATTCACATACCACCATTTGTGAGCTATGGAATCCTCATTGGTGTATTAGTGTACAATAAAAAACCGAGCGTATTTCAATCTTTATACAGATACCAGAGGTAACAAAAAGTTTATATGACCAGGGGTCACTTAATATTATACATCATTAAATGCACCAGAAGTCACCTTATATTGTACATCAGAAAGGGGACCAGAGGCAACCTTATATTGAACATCAGTAGGGGACCAGAGGGTACCTTATATTTTACATCTGTAGGGGCTAAAAAGGTCACTTTATATGTACATCAACAGAGGTCCAGAGGTCACCTTATATTGTACATCATTAGGAGGACCATAGGTCACATTATATTTGTACATCAGTAGGCAGACCAGATGTCTCTTAATATTGTACATCAGCAAGGGCACTAGAGGTAACATTATATTGTACATCAGTAGGCAGACCAGATGTCTCTTTATATTGTACATCAGCAAGGGCACCAGAGGCAACATTATATTGCACATCTGTAGGGGGACCAGTGGTCACCTTATATTGTACATCAGTAGAGGGGCCAGAAGTCACCTTATATTCTATATCATTAGGGGGACCAAAGGTCACGATATATTTGTACATCAGTAAGCAGACCAGACTTCACCTTATATTGTACATCAGTAAGGTGACTAGATGTAACATTATATTGTACATCAGTAGGGGGACCAGAAGTCACTTAATATGTACATAAATAGTGGGTCCAGAGGTAACCTTTTATTGTACATCCGTAAGGGGACCAGAGGTCACCTTTTATTGTACATCAGTATATAGGGGGACAAGAGGCCACCCTATATTTTACCCCAGTAGGGGAATAGAAGACATCTTATATCGTACAACAGTAGGGGGGCCAGAGGTCACGTTATATTGTACATCAGTAGGGGGACCAGAAGTCACTTTATAGGTACATCATTAGGGGGACCAGAAGTCACCTTATACTGTACATCAGTAGGTTGATCAGAGATCATGTTATATTGTACATAAATAGGGAGACCAGTGGTCACCATTGTTGTTCATTTTTAAGGAAACCAGACATAGAATATTTTTTTATGAATGCAGAGATAAGGCATCAACAATTCTAGAATCGTCTTAACTAAGAGACATCTCAAAAGAAAATAAGGGCGGTTAGAGATAAAATGCATATTAACGGGATACCAGCGGTTATCTTATAAGAACACGACACGAAGCCCTTGCGTCTTATAGGTCATCAATGAATTTCACAATTTGGGTAGAGGAGTGAATGCTTATTATAATTATGCCAACAGGCATGATGTCAGTGAGTAAAGAACCTTTTCAAAGATTGCATCAATTGTAGTGGTTTTGCCCCGACCCACTGGCCCATGGGAGTGATTGTACAGAGAAGCTGAAAATGTTCGAATATTAATGCACAATGAACAGCGCATGACGTCAGAAATAACAGATAGCAATAAGTCAGATAAGTTGATTCAGGTGCCCAAAGAAAAGGTCCTTTGGTCTCCATATTTATGTAAAATATAAGTTGTCTTCTCATCTCCTTGTTGACTTACAATACATGTATAAGGTTTCCTCTAGTCATCTTACTGATGTACGATATAACGTGTCTTTCGGTTTCTTCATTGTTCAAAAGAGTGCAATCCTTAGTTTTAATGATGTACAATATAAGATGACCTCTGGTCCCCCAAATCATGTTCAATATAAGTGTCCTCTAGTCCCCCTACTGATGTAAAATTTAAGGTGCCCTCTGGTCACCCTACAGATGTACAATATAAGGTGACCTCTGATCCCCCTTATGATGTACAATATAAGGTGATCTCTGCCCCCCTAATTATGTACAAAATAAGGTAAACTCAGGTCCCCCTACTGATGTACAATGTAAGGTGACCTCTGCATAGTCCCCCTACTGATGTACAATATAAGGTGACCTCTGCTCCTAATGATGTCCAATATATGGTGACCTCTGGTCCCAATAATGATGTACAATATAAGATGACCTCTGGTCCCCCTACTGATGTACAATATATGGTAACCTCTGGTCACCCTAATGATGTACAATATAAGGTGACCTCTGGTTTCCCTACTGATGTACAGGATAAGGTTACCCTCTGGTTCCCTAATGATGTACAATATAAGGTGACCTCTAGTCCCCCTACTGATGTACAATATAAGGTCCCTTTGGTGCCCTCATAATGTACCATAGAAGGTGACATCTATTCCCCCTAATTATGTAAAGGATAAGGTAACCACGGGTCCCCCTACTGATTTACAATATGAGGTTATCTCTGGCCCCCCTATTAATGGTAAATATAAGGTGACCTTTTGTCCCCCTACTGATGTACAATCTAAGGGGACCTCTGGTCCCCCTAATGATGTACAATATAAGGTGATCTCAGGTCTTACTGATGTACAATATATGGTGACCTCTAGTCCCCCGTAATGATGCACAATATAAGGTGACCTCCGGTCCCCCTACTGATATATAATATAAGGTGACCTCTGGTCCACCTACTGATGTACAATATAAGGTAACCTCTGGTTTCCCTACTGATGTACAGTATAAGGTGACCTCTGGTGCCCCAGTTGATGTTCAAGATAAGGTGACCTCTAGTCCCCCTACTGATGTACAATATAAGGTCCCTTTGGTGCCCTCATAATGTACCATAGAAGGTGACATCTATTCCCCCTAATTATGTAAAGGATAAGGTAACCACGGGTCCCCCTACTGATTTACAATATGAGGTTATCTCTGGCCCCCCTATTAATGGTAAATATAAGGTGACCTTTTGTCCCCCTACTGATGTACAATATATAATGACCTCTGGTCCCCCTAATGATGTACAATATAAGGTGATCTCAGGTCTTACTGATGTACAATATATGGTGACCTCTAGTCCCCCTAATGATGTACAATATAAGGTGACCTCTGGTCCCCCTACTGATATATAATATAAGGTGACCTCTGGTCCACCTACTGATGTACAATATAAGGTAACCTCTGGTTTCCCTACTGATGTACAGTATAAGGTGACCTCTGGTGCCCCAGTTGATGTTCAAGATAAGGTGACCTCTAGCCCCCCTACTGATGTACAGTATGAGGTTACCTCTGGTTCCCTAATGATGTACAATAGAATGTGACCTCTAGTCCCCCTAGTTTTGAAAAGAATAAGAGAACCACGGGTCCCCCCACTGATTTACAATATAAGGTTATCTCTGGTCCCCCTATTAATGGTAAATATAAGGTGACCTCTGGCCACCTACTAATGGAAAATATAAGGTGACTATATAAGGTGCCCTCTGGTTCCCCTAATAATGTACAAGATAAGGTAACCTCACCCCCCTACTGATGTACAATATAAGGTGACCTCCGGTCCCCCTGCTGACGTACAATATAAGGTGATCTCTGGTTCCCTTTATTATGTACAAGATAAGCTAAACTCGGGTCCCCCTACTGAAGTACAATGTAAGATGACCTCTGCATGGTCCCCCTACTGATGTACAGTATATAGTGACCTCTGGTCCCCTTACTGATGTACAATATAAGGTGACCTCTGGTCCCCATACTGATGTACAATAGAAGGTGACCTCTGGTCCCCGTACTGATGTACAATAGAAGGTGACCTCTGGTCCCCCTTCTAATGTACAATATAAGGTGCCCTCTGGTCCACCTACAGATGTACAATATAAGGTTACCTCTGGACCCCTAATTATGTACAATATAAGGTAAACTCGGGTCCCCCTAATGATGTACAATATAATGTGACCCCTGGTCCCCTAATGATGTACAATATAAAGTGGCCTCTGGTCCCCATAATTATGCCCTCTGGTCCACCTACTGATGTACAATATAAGGTGACCTCTGGTCCCCCTACTGATGAACAATATAAGGTGACCTCTGGCCCCCATGCTGATGTACAATATAAGGTGACTTCTGGTCCCCTACTGATGTACAATAAAAGGTTACCTCTGGTCCCCCTAATAATGTTCAATATAAGGTGACCTCTAGTCCTCCTAATTATGTACAAAATAAGGTAACCTCAGGTCCCCCCACTGATGAACAATATAAGGTCACCACTGGTCTCCCTACTGATGTAGAATATAGGTGACCTCTGGCCCCCCTAATTTCACGTTTTTTTAAATATATGTATCAAAACGTAGACCTGTATATTGGTATAAATATGATTATTTTGGAGCAAGACAAAGAAAATGGTCTATTATATGAAATTCAATCAATGTTATATAGGGTGACCTGGGGTCTCCGTATTAATATCGATAAATTTACTTTTGTGCCTGTAATGCCTGAAGAGTTCCTAAAATGTTTTATTACTACGCAAAATGACGAACTATTCTCGGAGGACCCGAGGTCCTATTTGAGCTTACGTTTTATCTTCTTCTTCTGTTACATGTGATTTGCGCGATTTTGGTATCCGGATCCCCATGCTTAAAGTATTTTTAAAGCACCATGTAATGCATTTTTTATCATTATACACTGTTTAAAGTATGAATCATTATCATTATTGATATCTCTACAAATACAATGAAATAAATACTAACACTGTACATCCACCTGAATTGTAGCTGGAGAAGACATTCCTATTGAGTTGGTAGCTCTACAGTTATAGTTCCCTGACTGATTTCTCTGTATGTTAGAGATGGTGTAGTTGGGACCTGTATTGAGGACAGAACTGGGACTGTCTGTCTTGATCCAGCTCCATCTGATGTCTGTGTTAGGGTTGGCAGCAGTCACACTACATGTCAATGTAGCTGTCTGACCTTCGACAACCCTGTATGGACTTGATGTTAATGGTGCTCACTTCTGGCTTATCTATGTTAAGTAATTTTATAACCCCTTAAGAAATTATTAAAGAATGTGTTATTACTCTGCTTCTACATGAAGCGATTTAAACGTCTTAAAGTTGTTTATATCCTCAGATTTAGAAAGTTAGCAACTAAATGTTTTCTCATGGATTCTTTTTTTCTCAAATTAGGGAATAACTATCTTTTAAATTAAAATTTTGGACCGTGAATGCTTATTTAGCGGTCACAAACTGAGTTTTACCGCCAACACGTAAGCGAATCCGGTAAAACGGATGTTTTCAACCGTTAAATCAGCATTAACGACCTCAAATACCAAATAAGAAGATAGTTATTTCCATTCTAATGCAATTTATGCATTTTGTTTGTTGTTTATGTCTTATTTTGATGCATTGTGCTTTTGCATCGTCGTTTGACATTACAATGTAAAGCTTTCACTCTCGTTAATGCTCGTTTAACTGCTTCAAACATATGTGCATTGGCCAATCAAAACGTATTTTACAAAACAATTGCATTAGAATATATGCTTTTACGAAATCTGAATAGAAAACCGATTTCAACTTCTATATTTTTCAGTTATAATTACTATAGAGTATTTGTAGTACTACAATGAAATCAAAACATATCATATACCTGTCAGTAATGCAGAGATAACAATACTTACACTGTACATCCACGTGAATTGTAGCTGGAATAGACATTCCTATTGAGTTGGTAGCTCTACAGTTATAGTTCCCTGACTGATTTCTCTGTATGTTAGAGATGGTGTAGTTGGGACCTGTATGGAGGACAGAACTGGGACTGTCTGTCTTGATCCAGCTCCATCTGATGTCTGTGTTAGGGTTGGCAGCAGTCACACTACATGCCAATGTAGCTGTCTGACCTTCTACAACCTTGTATGGACTTGGTGTACTGGTGCTTACTTCTGGCGTATCTGTATTAAAGTTTCATAAATCATAATTTCTAATTGAAATTTTTTTTAATATTTATTTATATCAATTCAACCACTGATATACTAAGTACATGGAACCTAAAAAATTAATATGTTGTGAGAATTTCTATCAGCCAGATTATCTTAATCAAATGTAAAAATGTGTATTCTTGGATATAATTTTTTTTTGCAATACGATATATCGTGACAATTCGTTAAATCATATAGAAATAATAGAATTATTAAACTTTTAGGAGAAATCTTACAAAAAACCTTTAATTATTTATATTTTAGTTATCAATAAATTAAAAGATATATTCATATCGAAATGATATTTACAATTCTTTTATTTTTATCACCAATCAACTGAAAATTCTTTATTCAAATTTACGTCACGAACAAAGAACGTAAATTTTGTATAAATAAAGAAATCATAGATGATGGGACTCTGATATAATTATGATGATCAATAAAAAAAACATAGGCTAGATAAAATCACAAACCAGCTCAGTATTGAAAAGTTTACTTGTTAGGGGGGGGGGGGTAAATTGCCTATACTGGATTGATTGATTGTATATTGTTTAACGTCCCTCTCGAGAATTTTTCACTCATATGGAGACGCCACCATTTGACGGTGGAGAGCTGCAAATTTCGTTCTATACTCGGCACTTAGGGCCATTGAGCAGGGAGGGATCTTGTTCGTGCCAGGACCTACTGGGACACAAGACCTCGGTTTATACGGTCTCATCCATAGAACCGGTCTCCACATCCCACAGTGGGATTCATACCAGCGACTTAAGGACTGAACCCTTACTTCGCGATTCTAGAGCAGACGCTCTAACCACTGCGCCACGCGGGCGACTATAATACTTATACTTGAGAATGTCATTATATTAACAAAACATACATGTATAATTTTGCCATACTTGAGAAGAGGAGTTCTAAAGATTTTTCCTATTTATTTCTTTGTAAAGATTTGATTGCCCATTATTGTCTAATCTTACCCTCAGGGGTCATGATATGAACACACTTGAATTAACTTTAACTGAGAATGTTTCCATATTAATATCACCAATTATAGCTTTGATGATATTAAGAAGTAGATTTTAAAAAGATTTTCCCTATATATTCCTAGTATGTAAACTTTTGAATACCCATTGTGGCCCTTTCCTATCCTCGGGGGTCATGCTTTGAACAAACTTGAATCTACACTACCTGAAAATGCTTCCACGTGAGTTTCATCAGTCTTGGCCAAGTGGTTCTGGAGAAGAAGATTCTTTTTAAAAAGATTTTTCCTTGTTTATTCCTATGTAAAATTTAAATAAGCCATTGTGGCCCCACCCTACCCCCGGAGGTCATGATTTAAAGAAACTTGAACCAATCTACACTACCTGAGGATGCTTCCACATACAGTCTATAAGTTCATATGTCCTGGCCCAGTGGTTTTGGAGAAGATTTTTTAAAGATGCCATTAATTTTTCATTAATTCATAAGAATCTCCTCTTGGAAAAGGGATTGGTCCTTCGTTTGAACAAACTTGAATCTCCTTTACCCAAGAATACTTTGTGGCAAGTTTGATTAAAATTGGCCCAGTAGTTCTTAAGAAGAAAAAGGAGTAAATGTGAAAAGTTTACGGCGACGACAACGACAGACAACGGACAAACTTTGATCAGAAAAGCTCACTTGAGCCTTTGGTTCATGTGAGCTAAATAATGGGGGTCAATATGCTTCTTTTAGCTCTATTTAATATGACCTTTTTGCACTGAAATTGTGTCTTAATAAAAAATACATTCTCGTCGTTTTAACAGTTTTTATCCAGATAAAGCATTAAACAAAATACAATTTGAGTCTATTTAAAAATACACTTTGAAAAGGTGACTAAGAAAAGGTTTCAAATTACTTCAATCAATTATTTGACCTTTCTGCACTCACAAAATGTGATTTTTTTTTTAGGCATTTAATAAAATCTAATCAGCATGAAACTCATTTTTAAGTCTTAAAAATTTGCTGAATTTAAGCAGATGGGTCAAAGTTATCATAAATATTCAGAAAAGGACAACAAAAGTCGTGGATATATGATGTTAATTTTTGGATATTACTAAAAAGTGTCAAATGTTATGTTTAATTTGGATCAAATGTTTCCTTGACTGTCACAATGTACTCACTTAACTTGTCACACTTCTTTGAAGGGATTCATAAGAAATAATTTATTTTAGAACCAGCATGGAAAAATAGGAATATAAAATCATAGCTCAAAAGGGGAAAACAAATTTTCTTCAAAACCTTTTGCCACAAAACATAATTCCTGGCGAAATCCTGTACTTAAATGGAATTAAATTGCGTTTTTATTTAAATTAAATATAGTTCAATTTGAAGTTTAGAATCCAGATTTAATGCTAGAACTTAAAAAGATGCCGAATCTAATTTTAGAAATAAATGTCCAGACCAAAATCTGCTAGAGAATACCACGCCTTACTGAAAGTCCCAGGATTACAGAGAATTGTACTATTTATTTAAATACTGTAAAATCAATATTTTCGTGGGATCAAATTTTCGTGGTTTGAGTAAAAATTCTTGGTTCGTGAGTACTTTCAACCCTAAAGATAAAGCTTCACACTTCACATAAATGTCATCAGTGTATCAGCAGTTCAAAACTTACTAGTATTCAGAAACTGTCTGATACCGTCAAGCTTTTGTCACAAGAAGTCAACGACCTAAAACAGCAATAACGAGGGCTTTTCAATAAATGATGCCCTGGGCTCTATGAAATAAAGGATATAAATCATATGATATCAAGCTTGACTTTCTTTCATTATTGAATCGTTCATGAATTGATAACAGCTTGTGTGGACACTTTTCATTGCATAGTTTCAACTCGGGCTTTTTGAGACACTGCATTAAAAATGAATGGTAAACTAGTGTGAAATTAAACGTTTTATTGAACATAGCAAAATTGATAGGCATCATTTTGGGGGTAATTTACACAGTATGAAAAAAATCATTTGATAGTAAAAAGGCTTAGCATTCAATGGCTACCCTATGTTTTAAAAAATAGTGAAAACTAGAGCTTGTGAGAATATCGAAACAATTATTTTTAAAAATATCAAAAAAAATTTTTACCAACATTTGTCTGAAATTCAAACAGGCATTGAAACTTTAATCCATTGCTTTAAATCCTAGAAAAAAAATTACAATAAGATACACTTGACCAAAACAGCCAAGGTCCGAGAAGGGCAAAAATGACAAAAACACAAAAATTATTTTTTTATGCCATTTTCTTAAATATTAGTGATCTTGTTGGTCAAATTCTTATTCGGGGAGAAAGTTCAATTTCTGGAGAAGTGTAGCAATTAAATTGTTTGCGAAAAATCGAGAGGTTTATGAGAGGATGGAACCAGAATCAGGAATCCGCTACATTAAATTTCTTCATGACAAAGTCCAAACAAACAAAGATTTAGGGATAAACAGTAAATATTTTGTCACATCAACAAAATTTGTCATATCTTTCACCCTTTGACTCATTTAATTTTCCAAACTAAAAAATACTTTCAGAAAGGAGAAATAAGTCCAGAAAATCATAGGATCTGTCATATTCCAGTATCACTCAAAAATGTGTTCTTAATGATAAAAATGTATAGGACATGTGTTTTAATTAAAAGAAAATATGTAAGTGAAATCATTAAAACTAAATCATTGACAAGCGTTTTTTGTTTCTTTCTGAGGATCTAGGACATTATTTATTGAACAGCCCTCATAAATGCGTCAATGAAGGTCACATCGCTTGTTTCAAGAGCTGCCCAAGCAACTCCAAACAATATCAAAACACGGTCTTCAAATTCTAGCTGGTGTATCTAGGCCAATATCCGTTATTTCCCGATCTGAACAGGGAGCACACGCCGGGTGTGACCGGTCAGCAGGGGATGCTCACTCCTCCATGGCACCGGATCTCACCTCTGATGTTTCGGAGGTCTGTGTTTGCTCTGCTCCTATTTTGTATTGTTTTATGGACTTTGTTATTGACTACTGTTCATTATCTCCATTTTCTTTTTTATATTCGGATTATTTCAAAGAAGAAAATGGATTTTATATAGATGTAAAATGTCGGTTAACAGAATTGTATGCTAAGTCATTAACATTCTATGTAATAAAAAATCTTGAATTTCAAAGAATATACTTTATAGCTACAGATTGATACTAATAGATAAAATGTTGATGCTTCGTAAAACCGTATCCTGATATAAAACTGTATCTTTATTAGTATGATGCATATTCTGGAACAAACTTTTTAGTTTTAAATCTTGAAAGTCTATGAACTAACTCATTTACTTACAGAGTACGTCAAGTATTGTTTGATCACTTGTAACAGAAGATATTCCTTTGTCCTCTGTTGCTCTACACTGGATTGTCTTCCCTTTGTCTTCTTTTCTGACTCTATTTATCATCAGCACATTGTTCCCTTGTCCAGATAGGGTAAACCTAGGGTCTGTGATAGCAGCACCATCATCTGTCCATGAATACGTCATCAGTAGTCCAGTCACTGGTACTGATGTAGAGACAGCAGAACAAGTCAGATTGTGAGACCTCTGGTTAATCAGATCTCCCTGTAGACTTATCACTGGCTTTGTTGGAGGCCCTTCGAAAAGTACAAACACAGATATGTAAAATATTAGATACATGTCAGACCTGCTAATCATGTATTATAGCAAACTATCATTAATTCTGCTCATTTGTATGTTTGTATCATGCTGATTCTGCCTTTCAGCACATTATAACAAAGAGAACATATATTTGCTTCGTTTAACAAATATAATTTCGAAAACAGGAACGCAGCTCATATATACATGTATACAAAGGGACCTGAAACAAATTATCTTTGACCTGCACATACGAGCGTTCATATGATATAATTCTTAATTTCATAGATAATTTCATGGATAATAGGTTATGAACAAACAAATCCTATGTAGTTCACTTATTCCCTTAATTACGATATCAAATCAAATCTCTGACATCAACTGATTGCATTTTATTTCATGTGTATTTATAATTTGACTGGTTTAAACTACATATAATTTAATTGCAAAACATTTGATAACTCAAATTACTTACTCATGACATAAAGTGTGTTGTTAAAAACAGTAGAGGATACTGTTAGTTCGGCTGAGTATACGCCAGCATCTGAGATGTTGACTGCATTAATGAAGCAGATAAAGGTCTGTTTCTGGTTAACATCTATTCCACAGGAGATTCTGTCTCTGTAATCTAAATTGATGCCAATGAATGGGTCTCCACCAGGTATACCAGCCAACGTACAGATAACAATAGTTTCCTTCTTAAGGTGTACAACGAAATCTTCCGGTATATTCCAAGAGGTAACAGAGGTGTTGATACATCCTGGACTATTCTCAGTAATATAGGCAGGTAACTGTTGACCTGGAAAATAATTATACTATGTACATGACCTCTTTAAAAGAAAGTTTAATATTACAAACAATAGATAAGATGCAAATCTTCTTTCTCATCAACATTTTTTTTCTCAGGAGACGGCTCTGCGTACAGTGTCTACAGTATAAAAATTCGTGTGTCAACCTTTACTAAGTGATACAACATAAAAAATTAAGAATTTTTCTGAAACAGAAAAAAAAGTTTGATAAACTATTTTATGACCATAGATAATATTCCACAATTTTTCATAAATGGCATTGATTCCCTACTGATTTTATAGACTAGTGTGTTTTGACAGGTCATTTAATTGTTTATTTATTTGCCTATACACATACGTAACCATTTATTTGTAACACAGTATCAACAAAACACAGTCTTACATCCTTTATATAGTGAACCGAAAAGCAAACTATATCCAAAACAATTAAATAATTTTTTTTTCAAACAAGTAAAATAAATATAAATTGATAAATAAAATAAGATTTCACAATTTTACAGGTTATACTTTACTCAAGAAAAATATAAAGCAGGCCGTGTTACATTGCTTACCAAATGCAGACAGTATATGCTTAATAATGGATCATACGATAATTAAAACAAAGTTGTAAAAAGTATAGCTACTTTTTATATTTTTCTTTCATCTCAAACATCAACACAGCACGTACGCCCCGCGACACGAAACAACATTTATCTGTAAAACTAGTACAGATCTTTTCATACCTCGGGCTCGGTGACTGTCCAGAGATCAGGTATTTAAGGAATGCTTATTTCAACTTATATTATACTATATAACATAACTTAACGCCTTTTAGTATAAACCGCTTCAAGAATATTATATCCTATATTATTATGCTTCCTGTCAGTTTGTCTCAATTGTAGTGGCATATTTCTTCCCCCTACATGCAAGATAAATTATGTTAACATGCAAGAAAATTATGTCAACATGCAAGATAATTATGTTGACATGCAAGTTACAAATCTTACATGAGAATCTGATTTTAATATGGTTAAAATCACTTCCATAATCCTACGGAAGCGTAAATGGTTCTACACTTGTTGTGTTATAACTTTGTATATTGTTTTATATTTTATCGACTTATCAACATATAAAGTGTTATATCTCCTTATTTATGCACATATTTTGAATTGTATTGAGATGTATTTACATAATTGAAGGCAACTGCTTTTGTTCAATACATTTTATTGCTTTAATTTTTATCAACTAGAAATATTATACTTATTTTCAAATATCGATATCTAATCATGTCTATATAGTAATTGTCGATATGAAGAAATAAATATGAAGTTATATCGATATAGATATATGAATATTTTCGAGAAGTCAGAAAAAGGTGTTTTTGAATTAACTTGGCGGGAGCGGGAATTCTAATTAATCTTTACTTGGGAAACTTATGTACCATGTATTTGCTATTGTGTACGATTATAGGCTGAAACAAAATTTAAAAATATTTGAAAAATGGAGATGGAGAGACACCAACAGTTAAATAATATACATTGTTATAGGAAATTATTATACCAATCATTTTGAAGAGGGAATCTGATATATTCTATCATGGTTCACTGTTTATATCTCTTCAGTTCAGTGGGGATTGTAAATCGCTAATCAAGCAAAAATAGAAAGTAATACTACTATCAAAGTAAAACTAATTATATACAGGGTGTTTCAGAAAACATGCAACCATTTACTTTCCTCACAATATTGATTTGCATACAGGAACATATGAAAGTATTATACAAAATTATGCTAAAAGGGCTAAAGTTTTTATCAATATCAAAAATTTAGAAAATAATTACCATTTTAATTAATTAGGTGTGCCATCACTGAAAAAAGAGAATTCAACATTTTTTATGTTAAATTTAATGAAAAGCAATCATCAGGAATTCTGATACTGCTTAATCAGAGGATGCCACCAGTTCATTTGATTACGGTAATGCATAAAAAATAAGGTTTACAGAATGCAAAGAACTTACTAACAGCAATATAAAGTGAAAGTTGTATAAATCTGTTGAATTTTGTAGCTTACCCTAATGAAATAGTTAAAACTTGATCAAAGAAAAGGGGAAAAAATGAAGAAGAAAAAACAATTAGAGCACAAAACATTTGGATTGTTACTAAAGAGGCATTGTTCCAGAGACTAGCATGGAATCCTTTTTTAAAATAACTAAGTTTGTGAACAAATTTAGTAAGTAAAGTGTGGTCCAGATGATGAAATAGGTTTTGAATCTTATCGATAAACCTTGGACTTGTTAGAACAAATGTTATCAGGACCATTCAACTCTTTCAAATCCATTAAACTGGGCTCCACACTCACCTGACTTAATACCCATTGACTTTTACCTGTGGGGATATTTAATAATCAAAGTTTTTACCCCCCTTCCACCCCCGCCCCCCCACCCCCCAAAAAAGAAATGATCTCAAAATAGTTTGAAAAATGAAACCTAATTCATTTCAAGAGAACTTTCTTGCATCAGATAGATTTATTCTTTCAGCAAAAATGACGCCATTAAGAGCATATTTTTTAAGTAAGTGAAAATTTACAAGTTTCATTTTTAGGTCACCTGAGTAAACTCAGGTGACCTATTGCTATCCGTTTTTGTCCCTCGTCGTCCGTCGTCTGTCGTGCGTTAACATTTAAACATTTTCAGCTTCTTCTCTGAAACCACTGAACAAATTTCAACCAATTTTGGCATACAGCATCTATGGGTAAAGGGGAATAAAAAATGTGAATTTCGTGGTCCTTGTCCCCCTGGGGCCTGGGGGTGGGGCAAAAACCACTAAAATTAGTGCAATCTTTAAAAATCTTCTTCTTTACTCCCGGACATCAAGCAGTCAAACTGTTGGTATGATTGTAATCAGCATTGAGTCCTCTACCAAAATTGTGAAATTCATGGTCCCAGGGTCAGGGGTTCTGGTGTTAGGACGGGGCTCTATTGATTATATAGTGAAAATGCATTAATTCTTTAAAAATCTTCTTCTCTGCTCCTGGGTTTAAATAAACAAATTACGTTCATAGTGCAAGTGAGGTATTGAATTTATTTTAATAAGAATAAATTTTGAAGTTGTGACTTTTAATTAGATATGTTGGTGCATGGTATTGGTCAAAACGCCAGTAAAATCTAATCAATCAGAATGGTTGCATGTTTTCTGAAACACCCTGTGTTACAACGTGAAATGTAATAACAACGCGAAATGTAATAAACCTGGATTATTACATTTTGCGTTATTTCATTTTGCGTCGAAATCAACGCAGAATGTAATAACGCAAAATGTAACAACACATTTTAGAGAATTATTACATTTCGCGTTATTACATTTTGCGTCGAGATCAACGCAAAATGTAATAACGCAAAATGTAATAACACGATTTTTGAATTATAACATTTTGCGTTGTTACATTTTGCGTCGAGATTAAGCAAAAGGCAGGAACGCAAAATGTAATAACACATTTTTTCGTCAGCCAGATTGAGTACAATTTTCAATAGTGTAGTGGCCGATGAAAAGAAAATAAAACGAAAGAAAATAATAGATCAATTTCTTACAATTAATAATTTTTTTAATATATTGATTTAACTAGATACATGTTTTCTAAATCAGTTTAATTAATGCATTTATATAAAATGTGTTGCAAATTAGAAACGTGCGTCTGTGGGCAAGGTTGTTTGGGGTATTGACCTGTATGCTTTTGCTTATAGACAATTGCAATAAATTTTTAAAAATATTCATTTGTACTAGCAGGTGTAAATGTATAGCGGGAAGGGGTTTATTGACAATAATAATACCACACTGTTCCATGCAAATCTCAAGCATTGCAGACAAGCAAAATCAAAATCCTCTCTCTCTCTCTCTCTCTCCATCCTAAAATAGAATGGATTGTTTCTGCATGTCCACAGTAATACAATAATATACATACGAAGTAAACCCCCCGCCCTATGCCTGCCCCTCCGATCCTCGCTTGACACACACATACACTTCTATTCATTTGGTAACCAATGCATTCGTGCCGAAAAATCATATCAAAAGCTTTTAATGAACCTATGGTCAATCTTTGTTAATTAAATGTGTTTTATTGGTTAGAAATTTAGTAAGACTCAAAAATATGCCAGTTAAATTAATTCTTTATAATTAAGTACAGTGTATTCAATATAACTAAAATCAGAGTCAGAAAAACGATACCTTTTGATGTATATATGTCCGGAAAAAGCCCTAACGTTGATATCTCATTGTTAATAATAATAATTATATAATAATAATAATTATATTTTGTTTTATTACATTTTGCGTTGTCTTCAGTGTAAAAATAAATAACGCAAAATGTAACAACGAAAAAGCACGTTATTACATTTTGCGTTGATCTCGACGCTAAATGTAATAACACAAAATGTAATAATCTAAGAATTGTGTTATTACATTTTGCGTTATTACATTTTGCGTTGATTTCGACGCAAAATGTAATAACGCAAAATGTAATAATCCAGGTTTATTACATTTCGCGTTGTTATTACATTTTGCGTTGTAACAACCCTGTATGTACTTTGTAAATATTTTATGCTGTTTCACTCTGAGGTATACGTAGGATCTGGCTCATGAATGGGGACCTCCAGTCTTCAACCCCCCACCCCCTGCATAAAAATATAAACATCAGATCTAACTTCTTATTGCTTTAAAAAAATAAACATAAAATAATTTGTGATTTCAGCCAATCTGTATAGGCTTAGTCACAAAGTTTAAAAGAGGAAAGTGTAGTGTCAGCCAAAATAAATATATAACAAGAAAAACACCCCCAGGGATTTAATAATTTAACTGCGAGAATTTTCTTAAATTTAGGGATATATTACTGGATCTCTGCTGTACTCAGTTTTTGGGTTTTTTTTAAAGCTGGATGAGGGGCACAAAGATACTCCCCCTCTTCAAAAGTGATGATCGGTGCATTAGCCCCCTATGGATCTGTAACTTTTAATGTGTCACC